TGGAAAGCGTCACAGATGGATAAAATAAAACAAAAAAGAAAATCAGGGAAGAAAGACAAAGTTGAGGAAATACTATTATTTGACAAGAACAAAAATAAAAACATAGACAAGAAAATAATTTTCAAGAACTCTGGATCACAAAGAGTCCAAACCTCAAAACCATCATGGCAGAAGAAAGAGATTTGATAAATCCTATTCATAGAAAACCTGTACTATGAAATTGTAGCAGAAAATGTCCCCAAACTAGGGAAAGAAATGGACATTCAAATACAGACGGTATTTAGAAACTTGACTGACCTTGACTAGAAAATATTCTCTCCATGACCTATGTGCTTAAGATATAAAGAATCCACAACAAAGAAACAATATTAAAATCAGCAAAAAATTAAAAGCCAACACACATAGGCAAATTCATCAGAATCATACCAGACCTCTGAGCAGAAAACCCAAATGCCAGGGAAGAATGAAATGCATTTCAAGCATTAGAAGTAATTGTCAACAAGTATAACAGTATACTAGAGTTATAAATTAAAATCCATGTATAACTTAAAATCTTCCCAGAGACACAGAAATAAGAACTTTTTAACTGCCAAACCAGTACTATGGAAGATACTAAAAGGATTCGTAAACACAGAGAAAGATTGTCTCAGTCATGAGAGCACAGGAACGAATAAATTTCATGAGAATAGATTAAGAAATGAGAAGTAGGAAATGATTATGTGCAACTCAATAAAGCAAAAAAAATAACTTCTAATACAAATAGAAACAAACGACATTCACAGCAACCTGGTAAACAACCACCACCAATAATAAACCCCACCCATTTTACTAGCCAGAATCAATGCGTCTACAATGAAATGTTTATTCAGGAAGTGATTTTTACTGAATAAATTGAATTTGTGCTGTGGGGGACTTTGTAGCTGGGGAAATAACAGAGGAAAGGAATTTGGATTTTAGGAAAAGAGAGCCTAGAACTTCACAATTGTGTTTATAGAATAATAACCAATACTGGAGTTGAAGGAGGAGTTGACTAAGACATGGTCTAAGGGATCTGAAGAAATGTAGGATGAAAACAATGATTTAGAATCTAAACACACCTTTTCAAACCAAAGAGATACCAGAAAGATAATAAACCTGTAGCAACATGTCAAGTGAAGGCTAATCTTCAAGCTTGAAGTACAGAAATTCTAATATTCTTGGATTATCAGTTTTAGACAAAGTGACAAGAACCAGGCCAAGAATCACTTTTTAAGCATTTCTCTCATTTGGGATACCTGCTACTAAAAATGTAAATGAATAGATGCTAGAGCAAGTGTCTCACATCCAAAGTGCAGTCTTCTGAACACTTCATAGCAAGCAATGTCATGTTAATTGCATTCCAGAAAATTTCAGGCAACACTTCATGATATCCTGTTTGAGCTAGTTATGAAAACAGAGATGTGTGTTTAGTGCAGATTTCCAAGGTGACTATGATGTACTAATGACAACATGATCAAGAAAGGAAAATACCTTGATATTGAGGAAGATGAGCATGGTATGGGTTTGATCCTTCATCCATTGCATATTGAGGAAGTTGTTACTTAACCTTCATCCATCCTCTTTCAAAATGCCTGCAATCCACGAGCTCATTTAGAAAGGAGAGTGGGCTGAGAGCCCACATTCCTAAGGAAAGCTGCATCCCTTTCTGATGACCACTGATTTTTTTGTGGGTCTCAAAGCCTTTTAATGTCCTCTTCCTATCCAATGGATTAATCATGCTCACATGTAAGAGACATAGACTGTACTGATAACCTCTCATGGGGTCTCCATTACCTAAAAGCAACAAGCCTTGATCAGAGTGACTTTAACTCCACAGTCAGAGTATTTCTAAGGATCCTGGATTTTCTTTCTTCTCTCTCATCTCTTCAGTCTGTGAAAGCCTACCTGAGTATGCAGGGATTTGTCTTCCCCTGATTCCCCCATAGCAGCATCCTTCCAAGAATCAGCTATTCTTCGGTTATACTCTTAGAGGAAAAGTTATCACTTACAGGCCTCCTATTCAGAAAGAGGCACGCATAGCAAAGCTGGTGCAAGGCTCGGGGATAGGGAAAGCTGCAGGATTGTGTGTGAAGGACAATGACACCCCACTCAACATGGCTTCCTCTTCCCGCAGTGAGTAGAAAGGCCAGTTCTCCCCTGCTCCTTTTCTTCTGTCATGCACTGGTGATCCTGGCCCTTGTGGGAGCTGCTGGTGAATTCCAAGTCTTGCTCTAGGCCCTTTCCTTTCCTCTAATTGGAAAACTTGGACTCTATCATCACTGTTGTCTGTTTTCTTCATTCTGATGTTCTACACATCCCACAGCATCCTTCTTCCCACTTTTCTGGGCTGTTGATCTTCACCTTTCTCAAGTCTCCCAGAATCAACGCTCACCACATTCTTCATTACATTCAAGGTGACAATCAGAGAGGCTAGAAAGAGAGGCTCGGGGACTGTTCCATGAAATGAATCAGCAGGCTTACTGCTTGGCATCAACAACTGGGATAGCCTCACAAGAGGGGTTTAGGGAAAAATGTATACCTGAAGAAATTTAAGACCTATTATTTCCAAAGATTTACCTATAGGATTCTGACTTTCTATGTCTGTGGTATTGCCAGTATACTGGGATTTAAGGTTCATAGGTGGCATTAGCATTATTCTCAAATCATGAAAATCCAACATTCATGGAGAGCAAACAAGTGATGCTTTTAAGAGGGAAGCAGGCAATGGGCAAGGAAACTAACTTTTCATTGGCTATCATTAGTGTGTTTTTATATCATTCCTTCTGTCCCAACCCCGGTGCTCAGAAGAGACCTGAACCAATTGGGATGTGTCCTTTCACTGGGGAACCCTTCAACATGTGTTGCCTACTGGGGACAGAGTGCTCCCTGCTTTCTTGTAGTCTTTGTGCTCAGAAAAGAACCCCAATAGCAGGAAGCAATGCTAGAGCTGAGGAATCTACCTTCCAACATCCTGATGAATTGACTTCTTTCTATCTCCATCCAAATTGCTTTCCCTGCTGCTGCTGCTGCTGCTGCTGCTGCTGCTGATGATGATGATGATGGTGGTGGTGGCTGTGGGAGGCTGTACCTGCCAGGAGAATTCTGTCCCCTACTAGGTATGTCTGAACTCTGGCTACCTCTTCTGTGGAGGTTCCCTCATCAATGACCAGTGGGTAGTAACTGCAGCTCACTGCTACAAGTCATAAGTGCTGGGACCCTGGCTGGTCAGCCCGTACCCTGAGATACCTTGAATAGGATGGCATCATTTGGGGCAAGTGCTGATATTGTACCGTGAATGGGAAAAGCCATGGATGAGAAAAGCATCTGTCAGCAGTAGATTTCCACGACCTTTGGGTGAACACTGACACAGAATAGGAAGACTCTCACACCCAAACAAACCCATAAAAGAGCCAGGACTGTGAGTCATTAAACAAAAGAGAGTTTATTTTAGTATCAGACATTAAGGAGAAAGGAGAGCAAGGACTATTGCTCAGGTCCCACATCAGGGAAATGATCCCAGAGTTTTTAGAAAACCGCCAAATAGTGGTGAAATCTTGCTTTTCTTCTTCCACAACCGTATATTAGAATGGAAACTGCTGTTTCTACTATGGGTTCTCAGTTTTAAACGTGCATCGGAAAAATAAGCAGGGCTTCTTAAAACATGGAGTTCAGGGCTCCATGCCCTAAATAGTGATTCAGTGGATCTAGAGTTGGGAAAGAGAATGTGAACTTCTCACAAAGTCTGAAGTCACACTGCTACAGGGCCAGACAGCACATTTTGGGCCCCACTGGATTAGAGGCCACATAACAATAGTTCTTACCAATGGAAAAAGAATGAGCCCAAGTTCCTGTTTGTACCAAAGAAACAGAGGATGAGAAGAGCTCCAAACAGCTTCTTGTGTCCAAAGCTCTGGCTACAGGAGGCACTATCGTAGCAGTAGGACAATTAACAGTAACTGCCATCTTCACCCCACCCGCTGCATGCTATCTGTCTCTAAAGAAGAAAGGGTCAGGGGGTCAAACCAGATATCAAACACCACCCCTCTATGTCTCCTCTGATACTGCTTAAAGTTCCACCACAGACTCTCAGAGCAACCCATGAGCACAGAGTTTGAGAACTTTAGAGAGTCTTGTCAATGGGGAAAAGCCTCCATCATGACTCTTCTTTGCAACAGCTGCATCCAAGTGAGTCTGGGGGAGCACAACATCAATGTCCTTGAGAGCAATGAGCAGTTCATCACCGCTGCCAAGGCCATCAGCCACCCCAGCTACAGTAGCTGGAGTCTGGACAATGACATCATGCAGATCAAGCTTTTTCCCTGTAACCCTTAATGCCCGGGTGGCCCCTGTATTTCTGCCCACCTCCTGTGTACCTGCTGGCACTCAGTGTCTCATCTCTGGCTGGGGCAACACCCTGAGCTTCAGTACTGAGTAGGACCCTTAACCTAATACTTCCCTTTCTTTGCAAAAGTTACAGAACCAAGTATTTCTCTAGCATTAACCCATTGAACTATCAGGCTTGCAAATACATTTGATGCCCAATATGCAAAGGTTCTAAAGTGGGTACCAGATATATTTGCATGCTCAATGTGTCTATCCTTGGTATGTAAGAACAGAATAGATATAGAAGGTGTTATTACTTCCCGAAAGGACATCAACAATGGATATTTTTGGATCTAAAAGCCACCATTGCTTGGTAGGACTTATTATCTTGGGGAGTTGACCACATTATTCACCTCTGGTTTGCTAATCTCCAGACCCATCTAAGTCACCTTCCTTTTTCTCATTTCCTCAAAGCCAACAACCTTGATCTGCTACAATGCCTGCATGTCTCACTACTATCTTAGGCTGACTATGAGGCCCTCTACCCTGGGAAGATCACCAAAAACCTGGTCTGTGCCTCAAGAGAGGCAAGGATTCCTACCAGGTGCCTGACTCCCTTCACTTATCAAACCCCTGTTCTCCTGGGAGTAGGATTTGAATGTTGAAGGCTATGAGACAGGGAGGGTCATACAGTGGTTCCATGGAGTAGTGAGGAAGTCTCCATGAGGCATGGAATATCCTTAGTGAATGTAGAGGGTAAACCACCATGAAAGGATATGCAACCACAGGCAACTAGAATGGGGGATCAAGTTCAGAGAAAACGTGGCCCTACTTCAAAGAACGCTTTCTTCCTACCTTTTGTCTCTCTTCCCCAGGGTGACTCTGGCAGGCCTGTGGTCTGCAATGGACAGTTCCAAGGAATTGCTTCCTGGGGCTATAGCTGTGCCCTGAAAGACAATCCCAGAGTATATACCAAAGTATGCAACTATGTGGACAGGATTTAGGCCACCATTGATGACAGTGAAAATCCATGCCCCCAGTCCCTCTGCATTCACTATTCTAATGAAATGAATTTTCCTCACTGAATATTCCTCTTCCTTCTCTCTCTACCCCTTGGGCACAGAAAATATGTTCTCATTTATGGTGACACATTTCTGTCCTTCAGGGATGTGGCAAGCTTCTACATGCCAAAATATATTTCATAGAAGAGTGATTTGGCAGAATATGAAGATACAAAGCTAAATATATAAATGGTAAAAAGAATGTCATATGTGGTCGCTCATGCCTTTAATTAGCACTCAGGAGGCAGAAGCACATAGATCTCTTTGAGATGGATGCCTGCCTGGTCTGCCTAGGGAATTCAGGACAACTGGGGCTACATGGCTGTTTTCTTGAGAAAAATAAAGTTGATGTTACATATCTTTGTTGGTAGCCTTTTATACTTACACATATTCTTAAACATAATTATTCATTTTAAAGAATAAAAAATATATATGCAAATCAGGAAAAAGAAAGCTTTCTTGACTTTGGTTGCAGTGGGTCATGCCAATGTGTGCATTCACTGGCATGGACAAGACCTTTGCTCTCTTTGGCTATGTTGAGAACCTCTTTGTTCACAGAGCAAACACATCTAGAGTTGTTTTTATGCCCAGAAGGAAAAGAACGTCCTCTATCTCCGTTCTTTATCCTGAGGCCTTTATCGACATCTTATACTTAGTTCCTTCTCCCTTCTGGAGTGGTCATGATTGCAGAGGTAGAGGTAGAAAACAGAGTTGCAGAAGCTGTTAGCTTGCAGTAAATCCTCCACCTAGCAGATGATGAACTGGGAGCCCCACTCCATTGGCTGCCAGGCAACTTGACCTAAAAAGATGCCACTTCCATGTAGTTTCTACCCCTTTTTTAAAAATGATTTTATTGAATTTTTGTGGACTTCATATAGAACATTTCAGTCACTCTTAATCATCTTTTTACCCTCTCTCCCACTGGCACCCTCCCACTACCCCCCCCCCCCTGGAATTCATACATTCTGTCACTTGTCTTAAGGCCTATTGTGTCAAGTCAGTGTCCCCAGACGTTCCTCAGTGCACGTTCATCCACTGAGGTTTAGTCAGCCTGTCTAGGGTCCCTCGCTTTAGGAAGATCAGCTTTTCCTCATCTAGCAGTAATCAGTTGCCAATATTTCTTCAGCTAAGATTGGGGTCTGCTTACATTTACCCAGTCTATGCTGGGCTTTTGTCTGCTTGAGTTTGCATGGGTCTTGCACATCCTGATGCCATCACTGTAGGATCCCAGGAATTTGTAGGATACTATTTCCATATGGTTATGCACCTCCTCCCTGGCTCTTACAACCTTTCTGACACCTCTTCTGAAATGGTCCCTGAGCCCTCGGTGGGTAAAGTTTAATATAGGAGTCCTGTTCAAGGACCAGCATTCTGCAGACTCTTAATCTATCGACTTTGGCCATTTGTGACCTTTTGTGATCCTGGGTCTCTGTCACATGAGGGAGCTTCATTAATGATAATTGAGATATTCATTAGTGCCCTCTTTACTCCTTGTTCTATGTTCCATGAACCTTAGGTGTGGAGGTTGCATTATAGATGTGTCGCTTAGACTTGGACAATTCACAGACAGTTTCTTTATAATGTGGTTTTCAACCCTTTAGACTGAGAAATTTGAAGTTCTCATCTAGAAGAGCTATTGTTCTAATTTCATTCTTCTTGCTGTGATGAAATACCTGACAAAAAGTATCACAGGTGAATAAACCATTTATTTTGCTTCAAATTGTAACTTATATAATGGAAATGGTAATTAAGAACTTTGGATCAGGAAGAGCTCCTATGCAAGAGATAAGACCAGGGAGATAAGCTAGAGTCTTCTCCCCCGCCCCCCAACCTCCTGTGGTTACCCAGGATAGAAGTCTTTTGTTCTCCAAAGTTTAGAAAACTCTGAGATAAGAGAGAGGTATGGGGGAAGTTCAGTAGGAGTCTTCCTCCATCCTGCCCCCTATGGTCAACCTGGAAGGAAGTCTTTGTAACCCCTGCAGCCATACCGCACCTTGCTTAATTATCACCTGTACCTTTTACTTAATTGCCACCTATGTGCTGTTTTGTCTTTTACTTGTACTTCCTCACATGAATATAAAAACCCCTAAAACTGGACAGGGGTACTGGCACCTTTAA